ATGAATTAAAGGATCTAGGTAACTTTCTCAAGATAAATCAATCCAATATATCAGATGTTTGTGCGAATAATCAAATAAATTGGCAATTTATTCCAGTATATTCACCTCATTTCGGAGGTTTCTATGAATCAGGTGTTAAATCTATGAAAGCTCATTTCAAAAGAGTTATTTCAAGTTCACATCTTACTTATGAGGATTTTAACACTGTTCTTGTTCAGATAGAAGGTATCCTAAACTCTCGCCCTTTGACTCCCATGTCCTCTGATCCTTCCGATCTTACCCCAATAACTCCTGCTCACTTCCTGATTGGACGATCAATGGAATCAATTCCGGAAGTTAACCTTACAGAAATAAATCCTGGCAAACTTCATCAATTTCAAAGACTCCAGCAGATTCGCCAGCACTTTTGGCAACGATGGTCTTTGGAATATATATCAGAACTACAAAGCCGACAAAAATGGAAGGTGCATATGTCAAATATTCAAATTGGAGACTTGGTCCTTATAAAGGATAAAGGACAGCACCCATTGAATTGGTTGATGGGTCGTGTTCATTCTCTTCATCCTGGTCCAGATGGTGTAAGCAGAGTTGTTACTCTCCGCACTACAAAAGGCTTTACCAAGAGAGCAGTTAGTACAGTATGTCCGCTTCCTATAAACACAGTGCAGTAATGACTGATAAACTTTCTTACTACATCAAAGTGTTTACTATTTTTATGAACTCTTTTCTTATTTTAAGTGTTTAATTATTTAGCATTTCATTTGATTTATATTTGCCTATTTTGTTTACTTTCAGTATAATTTAATATTTATAATTTGAAAGGTGTGCCTTTCAAGGTGGCCGGTATGTTAAGTATTGTAATTATAATTATTGAGGCGGCCCTGTATATAATGCTTGTGCGCATATTGGCACAGCGCAATTTATGTAGAGGTAATGGATTTTGGGAACAGCTATGACCTTGAACATTTCACATCAACTTGTGTACTAAATAGGCATAATGCATAGCTCTTGTCAAAATCCAATACATTAATAATATAATTACATATCTTTGATTCTAAAATATTGTAAAAGACTTTAAAGAGTATGATTAAGAAAAGAGATATTTAGTTATATTCTTTACGACAGTTTCAAGGTCATAGCTGTTCCCAAAATCCATTACCTCTACCTCTCTTTTCAGTTAAGCCCTCAACGGGACAAGCTGTGTGTATAAAAGGTGAAATAAAGATAATTTTAAAAGTCCATTTTGTTCAATATTTCCTAAAATAAAAAAGTAACTGAAGGGTCTTTCGGAGCATTCCCCGTATAATAGGTCCAGTAGGTTTTTAACTTGGTATATACTGCTTCATAATCAGATAGTCCTAAATTAATATTTGTAGAGTAATATAATAAATTATGGTAGATGTTGTTTTAGTAATTCTTGTAGGGGAATTAACGTGCATTGTGAAACCATACGATTCGAATATATTAACCAAAGATAATTGGGTAGCACAAGCAACAGAGTAAATATTATTCAAGTCACCGCATAGAATTTTTCTGCTTTTATTGGGCAGGTCATCTAACAAATTTAGAAGTTTCTTAAAAAATAGTTCCGTGGAAGCTATAAATTATGATAAAGATTCTTGTGATAAACCAATCTCTCTCTCTCTCTCTCTCTCTCTCTCTCTCTCTCTCTCTCTCTCTTCAATCCTGACCCCCAGGGGAAGTGTAGTGGTCGACGTGATGTCGTGTATTGTCCGTCTCCAGAGATCTCTGTCTCTGGTTATTTCTTTTAATTCATGCATAGGTCTTTGGCATATTCCTGTAATTTGATCTATCCATCTTGTTCGGAATCTTCCTCGTGATCTTCGGCCTTCTACCTTTCCTTGTATTATGAGTCTTTCCATGTTTTCTGTGTTTGCTCTTATAACATGCCCAAAATATTTTAATTGTTGGAGATGGACTTTACTAGAGAGTCGTTGGCTAACTTTTAGCTCTCTTAAAATTGAATTATTTGTTCTGCGGTCGTCCAAGGAATTCGTAACATTCGTCTCCAACAGAACATTTCAGTGGCGTCTATCTTTCTTCTCTCCGATTGTCTCAGAGTCCAAGATTCACATCCGTAGGTCAGTATTGGGAATATTAAGCAGTTGATCAACCTCATCTTTATCGCTCTTGAAATTTGACAGTCCTTTCATATTTTGGTCATTTTTGCTGTGTCAACTTTTGCTAGATCAGATCTACGTTTAATCTCTTCTTGTAATGACCCTGTGTTTGTGATTAATGATCCCAGATATAAGTATGAGCTCACAACCTCGAACCGGTCAATTGTGGTTATGTGTGGATGATTGTTGTGTAGTCTATCCACTATCATGATCTTTGTCTTTGATATGTTTAATTGCAGACCAAATATTTGACTTTCGTTTTCGATCAGTCGTATAAGTTCTATCAGCTCTGCTTGACTATTTGCAAGAAGGGCTGTGTCATCTGCGAAACGTAGGTTGTTTAGTTTATGACCATTTATTGAGATGAACTTTTCCCATCCTTCAAGTGCTCTTCGCATAATATACTCCCCATATATGTTGAATAATTGTGGAGATAGTATACATCCTTGTCTGACACCCCGTTCTGGATGAAATTCGTTCGAAAGTGTGTCAAGTACTTTAACTGATCCAGTAGTGTGTTCATATAGTTCAGTTATAAGCGTAATTAGATGTTGTGGTACGCCTACTTCTTTTAGTATTCGCCATAAGTGTCTCCACTTGACCCTGTCGAACGCTTTACGGTAATCTATAAAACAGATGTATAGTGGGATGTTGAATTCCCTAGATTTCTCGATTATCTGTCTTATATTCAGCAGGTGTTCTCGAGTACCTCAACCTTTGGTAAATCCAGTTTGCTCTTGTGGAATTTCTCTTTGAAGGAATGTTTTCAGTCTCTCATTGATTATATGTAGCATTATCTTGCTGGCATGGGATATACGAGAGATAGTTCTATAATTGTCGCATTTATGGAAGCTGCCTTTTTTATGTATGGTCGTTATTGTAGATTTTGTCCAGTCTTCAGGCCATTGTTTGGAATGCCATATTTGGTTACAGAGTAGATGAAGTAACTTTACGCCGGTTTCTTCTGTGGCTTTAAGCATTTCTGCTGTTATCATATCTGAACCTGGTGCTTTGTTATATTTGAGCTTGTTGATAGCCTGTCTTACTTCATTTTCGAGTATATCAGGTTCTTCTTCCACCTCGTCAGAGATTTGGCTAACAAGCTCTTGGCGTTGATCATCTTTATATAGGTCCCTGCAATACGATCTCCATGTCTCTGCTATGTCTTCTCTGTTTGTTCTCAGGGTTCCAGTGTTATCTTCAATGGCCCAAGTTCTGGCTCTGAAGTCTCTTGTCAGGTAGCGTATTTTTCTAAATAGATCTCTTGGCTGATTATTCTGACCACGTCTCTCAATTTCTTTGCATATACTTTGATAGTACTGTTTTTTGTCGGCCTTACATCTTCGTTTTATTTCTTTATTGAGGTTTCTTAAACTAGCTTTTTCCCTTTCACTATGTACACCACTTTTACAAAGATTTCTTCTATTCTCAATTATTTTAAGAGTTTCGTCTGTTATCCAGTGTTTCCGTTTCACTGGATTATTTTTCTTTGAGCGATCCACTGGTGTTGTTACTCAATGTTTAACAGTCTCCCATATTTCTTGTGATGTTCCGTTACGAATAGAGGGCATACTTTTCTGTACTTCCTGTAGAAGGTCTTCTTTCTTTCTTAGTTCTATCCTCTTTATCTCTCTTTGTTTGTTGGGTGCTTTAAGTTTAAGCATTACTTTAGCTTCGAGGAGAATATGATCGGATCCGCATATCGCCCCTGGATATGATCTGACTGTTTGAATGGACGATCTCCAGCGAATATTGGTGAGGACGTAATCTATTTGATTTCTAAATCTATCTCCAAGACTTTTCCAGGTACAAAGTCGACGTGCATGGTGTTTAAATCGAGTATTCATGATGGAGTAGTTGTTTGTGATAGCAAATTCGATTAAGCGGTCTCCTCTTTCGTTTCTCTGCCCTATGCCAAACTTTCCCAGTACATTCTTTAAGTCGTCATTTGGTGTAGTGTTGCCAACTTTTGCATTAAAGTCGCCACATATTATAGTAAGTTCTTTATTTGGTATGTTAGCGATTGTGGTCTCCAGTTTTTCGTAGAACTCCTCGATCTTTATGTCATCTGATGTGCTGGTTGGCGCGTAAACTTGTATGATATTAAGTTTATGTGGTTTGCCATCCAGTTTAATGAGTACTATCCTATCGTTCACAGCTTTAAATTCGACAACTGACTTTTGTAATCTTGGTGAGACCAGAATGGCAACACCTGTATAGTTCTGGGTCTCACCGCCAGATAAACCAATAAAAACTCAAAAAAGGCTTTATTCAACAGAAAGTCATATTTGGTTATAGGAGAGAAATCATTATTTGTAGAAATAATTAGGGTGCCACCATGAGCTGAACTTGGACGATCATACCTAGTTATTCTGGTATATTTTTCTACAAAAAATTTCTAAAAAAAACGAAAATGTGCTAAAAACTACAGGGGACCTAAATATCTCTTACTTTGGTTGATTATTTAGGGTCAAATAGAAGAAAGTCAGAAGAAAATATCTGTCCTGGCTATATAGCATTAGATAATGGTAAAATTAAACGAACGAGGAACTGTTTCATATAGCTACCGACCAAGAAGCACCCAACACTTTGTTAACGAGATGATAGCCAAAGCTTGAAAAAAATCATGGCTCACAAAGAAGAGTCTTTAGTTTAAAATACTCCCAATTCTCATTTGTTATTGATTGACCATCTGCATATTAAATTATCCTCAGATGTCAAGTCTTAGGTAAAATATAGAATAGATTTTTCTGTAGGACAAAAAAGAAGAATGTCGTATTGCAATATTTACTGAGCTGAACACAAGTTACCTTATGTATTTAGTAATAAAATTTTGCTCTAAAATAAAAGGCAGCTTTAGATTTAATTATTATTTTATTAAATATTAATACACCGGTTTAATATTATTATATAATAAACAAGCATTAGTCGATACACTCATCCACAATACAACGCGTCTTGCATACTTTTTGATAATAGTTGTATGAATCCTTTTTTGTTCTTGTTCTGTTGGGGTCATTGAAATCCACATTTACCAAACCAAATTTCACCCTAAAAATAAAAACATTAAAAATGTAAATTTTCTTATCTACTCGTCTAAAGTAGTGTTTTTAAAAAGTAAATAAATAAATTTTTATTTTGAAATACTAAACATTACAGTGAAAAATAGTCTAAACAATTTAATATACACGTATCTGATATTAAAACAAAAAAATATGTGATGAAATATAAAATATGTAAAATATATAAAATATTATTATGTAAATATGTAATATTATGTTATATTCCTTTTTAGAAGACTTTTTTAAATCGTAAGTATCTAAAAGTCTCGATAAACAAGGTTAAACAGAATCGGGTGTATTCGTAGACATATAACACAAGATAGACTGATTGTTGCATTGCCCTCCCGTTCCCCCAGTGCGACAGAGGTATTGGATTCTGCAAAATTTGCAATGCCAGGTATTGGGGACAAAATATGTATTTAAAAATATTTTTTTTTTTTTTTGGCAAGTTTTATTTTAAATCAGATTTTCTTTCACATGTACAATTAGTAATAAACTTAATCATACATTTTGGTTAAGAGAAAAAAAATCTGAGTAAAATTAACGTAATAATATCAGAAAATGGATCTTTCTGGACTGGAGTTTCAGGTACTGGTGCCTCTGCCTTATATGTGTATGGGTGTAATAAATTTTAATTTTTAAATGAATGTCCGTCCCGAATAAGTTTGTAACCCTCAATATTTGTGAATCTGTGCTATTAGCGGAATAAGGTTGTAATCATCATTTCTGTTATACTGGTATACAATTGGCCGCAAAAAATCACCTCATTTCATGTTTATGAGAGCATTCAAGTCGAGCCGCGGCGAATAAGGTTGTAACATCATTAGAAATATTAGACATGGCGGATCAAGCATGTGTTAATGTGAGTGTGGCCACAGAAAAACAATAGTCAACAAAGTCTCGAAAAATAAAAATTCGGCTTAGTGGGTGGAAGGACAATAAAAGAAAAATCCTACGAGATACTGGGACGCAATATGTTTTCAGAAAAGGTAATGTTGTTCCTGAAAACGTACCTCCAGTAAACTTAAGTACAGAAAATTATATTTATTTTCTGATGTTTAAGTAACTAAATAGCTTTAGATATGTAAATTAGGTTAACAAGGTGAATATAGGTCATTTTTTAAATATGTTTAACACTACTGGAGCGTGTCAAACTATATATTTTGACAACGCTTGCATAAAAATCTGTTTAATCCTAATTGAAAGCAACTTGGTTAAATTTCAATTAACTATAAAAAAATTTATTTATTAAAAAAATAAGTAAACTGAAATTTTGTTGGCAACTGTGTTTTGCTTCAACGCGTTTTTTTTTTTGTTGCAGGCTAGAACTTCTCGCTGTAAGTATGGGTGTGACGAAATTAATTTGGAGCAAAAACAATTTGCTTTTGAAACAATTCTACAGTGCTAGCTACGATAGACAAATAATGAATCGCGACGAAACTGTTCGTTTATTTATACTCTTGCAAGCACAAATATACGTATATGTCAAAAAACTCTATGTTCCATATTAAAAATTACGCCCAGACGTATTCAAATTGTGAAAAAAAAGTTATGTTTAATCAAATATTGTCTGATCAAAGAGAGCACATTAAATCTTTTCCAAAAGAAGTGAACCACTATTCCAGAAACAACACTCAAAAGCTTATTTTGAATCTAGACCTATCCATAAACAAAATGTATCTACTTTTTGTGGCAAAACTCCCCAATTTTCTTTGCAGTGAAAATCTCTACCGATACATATTTAATTGCGAATTCAACTTAAGATTTAGCACACCTAGATCGGACACCTGCGCTCGATACGATAAGTTTTATGTTGAGCTTATATATACCAAATCTGAGGCTGAAATGCAGAGAGTTCAAATCGAAAACAAGCTACACCACGCAAAAGCAGAACAAGCATATGCTATCTTAAACGAGGGTATAGAATTAGCTCAAAATAATCCCAATATTATTGTTCTATGTACATATCTACAGCATTTACTGTTTTGCCCGACACTAAAATATTCTTACATATTCTACCAATGTCAATATTCACGTTATAATCAAGCAATCTACAACATGGGTACAAACGAAGGTTTTATGTCTCTGTGGCAGTGGCATGAAATTGTAGCAAAAAGAGGTTCAGCTAAAGTAACATCCTGCCTACCGAATTATATTACCACTAACTTAAGGCCCATAGAAAAAAAAAACAGAAAGAAAATAATTGTTTTGTCAGACTGATATATAGGACAAAATAATAATTGGCGTAGTATTACATTATAACAGTACCTGGTCACTATGAGATATTTTACATCTGTGGAGCAAAAAAAGCGTTGAAACAAATTTACCACAAATGAAATTGATGTGTTGGTGAGTTTAGTGGAGAAATTTAAATAAATCGTAGGTAAGTATAGTCCGACAAGCGAGAGCTGGCGGGTGAGCTGCGCGAAAATAGAAAAGGAATTACTCTAAAAGAGATAGGAGAGGTACTTAATCGCGATTACAGGTATATATTATAGGTACTTAAACGGTTATACACGATGTGAACTCCTAGCCGACTGCAATAGAAATGAGCAATCCCTTCCACTTTTCAATTAGTACTACGCGCAACCCGCCAGCTCTCGCTTATCGGGTTATAAATTATAAAATTGTGTTTTTGAATATTCAGATTTATTTATTATTACATTCTAGAATGCAAGAAAACGGATACCGTAACAAACAACGGGAAAGGAGCAGAGTTGTGAAAAATAGAAATGCAATGTAATTCTATATATGGGACAGATAGAACTGCCAAAATGTTAAGAAGCAAATTTTAAAAAACAATTATATAAAACAGGTGGTGGACCAAAACAGATTTAGGGCTTAACAATGCTAGTAATCGCACATTAGCTATAATTGGCATTAGGGCAATAGGAACAATATTACAGTTTGATTTTGATTTTGGTATGCAAAATACATTACAATTTTTTTTATTTTGTAGATACAAATATTAAATGTAGAACTATACCATTTTTCAAAGTAAAACACTTGCACATCACGATTTCTACAAAGTGACGTCACTTGTATTTAAAATTTCCAGAACATCAACATTAGAGTTCAAATTTTCCTAACGCAACTAATAATACGAAACCCATACGGAACTGTTCCATCGTTCATAGGCGTCAACATGGTGGAATAATCAGAAAAATCTAATCATCATTATATGGGAAATTGTATAATTATATTGGTTAAATAACCGAAAACATTTGTTATTATTAATAATATAAATTTTATGAAATAACTCAAGTCTAATATTTCACAAATTAATAAATTAAATTAAATATATTAGACAATTTGTAGGCAACTGATACGGAAATACTTCAAATTTTTTTGACAGTTCAGCTGGTGGCAAAAGTGTATTAAGTGTTGCCGCTTTTTTAGAGTAGGAACTTTGTTTATGTTTTGATTTCTTACACAATTTGATCATAATATAATATATATTATAAATTGTATTTATAAATACATATTAAGTTTATATTAATAGCTTTAAAAACTAATTATTGTAGTGTATTGTGATTGTGATATGCCAAAACAAATAAATAGTCTGTAGAAAGCTGATAAGCTTTCATATAAGATAGACTATTTTGAACAAGAAATAATGGCGGGACGTTTTTACTGTTAAATCCCTAAAAGAGGTGAGTTTAATATTTCGAATATATAATTTTTTATTAAAATGTTTTACTATGTATTTTAATGTGTTGTAGTAGTCTTAAAACTAAGTGTATTTACTGTTAATATAATAAAAAATTTAATTAAAAATCCTTTGTAAAAGGTATATATTTAAGGCCCAACGGGCTAAGTTAAAAAGACATAACGTTTTCGGAATCCATGTTCCATCATCAGTGTCTAGGAGTACATGAATGTAGCCATTAAATATATGGGTAAAAACCCGTTAACAGATGTTTAATTACATTTAGTTTTTAAAAATACGTTATAATAATTTAAGATGATAGAGTTACCGATGGATTAAGTAACATGGCGACATATGACTCCACGTTGAAGTTGCTAGTGACACTAGTGAACGAGTCACTAATTACGAGTGTATGCAATCTTTGAAAAGCTATATATATATATATATATATATATATATATATATATATATATATATATTATATATATATATATATATTATATATAGGAAATAATCAGGTAAAGTGACCTCTATATAAAAATCTTTGTTTTTTTTTTCTAAAAAATTCAATATTTCGCTATTTATTTTATAGCTTCATCAGAAGTAAACTAAAACAATTTTAACTTTATAAAAATGACGTACAAATACATTTTAAAAAACACTGACAGAAATTAACAGATTTCACAAATCAAAACTGACAAAGCACGTTCATTACAGCAATACGATAAAAAAAATTAAACTTAATTCAAATGTAAAAATAAAAATAACAATTTTACATATATTAAATATTAAACAAAATAACAAAGCAACGTTGGACTAATGATATTTCTTTGATGAATTATTAAGGTTAGTTGATGATTAGGTTATTAAGTGAACGTTATTACACATTTGTTGCTGGCTAGATGGGCACTTAGCCTATTGCCATTAAAAAAAAAAAAAGTTAGTTGATATTAAGGTAAATGTTAACAATTTGAATATTTATACATTTGTTTAATATATTACAATATATGTTGCTTAACTGTCCAGTGTCCGATTTATAATTTAAAGTGTTCCTGTATTTGTTGATGTTTGGCCAATGTAAGTCTATTTTGACATCCTAGACACATCATAAACATTACTTTTGCATAAGGTTGGTACTAGGTCTTTGATTTTTGAAAATAGTTGTTTGCTGTTCATGGTATTATATTTATCTATACTAATATTGGGAACATTTTTTAATATCGATATGAGAGAATGAGTTAGACTATTAATAAGGGGAGTTTTTTATATTTGATTGATTTGTTGTTAGAATCGTGGACGGGACCGTCATAGAAATTACTGCCGTAAATCAGGTTTTTTTTTTAATTTGTTTAGGGTATCCGTTGTTACGAAAAATTTTGTATAATATGTCCAGATTTTTTGTAAAAAGTTTTCATCAACAATGGACATTATCCTGTTTTTTTATAACAAGTACGGTATGATAATTTTGACGGATGGTATAATTTGAATAGTAATTTATGTAAAATAAAAACACTTTAAATTATAAATTGGACACTGAACAGTTAAGTAACATATATTTTAATATATTAAACAAAATTCTTTTTAATTAATTTTAAACTGTTTGTCATTATTTTAGTGTAGTGTCTTGTACAATTTTATGTTAACATTTATGTTAATCACATTCTACGCTTGCTGGATAATCCATATTTGACGAAATGCCCCTGAAGCTGATATAGTAAGCGAAAGTACTTGGGCAAGATTTGATTAAATTTGTGATAATATATATTATATATATATATATATTATATATATATATATATATATATATATATATATATATATATATATATATATATATATATATATAAAGCAGTTGGGTATTATTTTGAAAGTTTTAGGTATAGGTATAATATTTAATATTTTAAAGACATTCAATAATATATATAGTTTTATACTTACGTATATCCAGAAACCCACTCAAAGTTGTCTAATAGACTCCAAGTATTATAACCAATAACATTTACACCATCATAATCCATTGCATCTTTTATAGCACTTAAATATTCCTAAAAAGAAAACTGTTAATCGTAAAAAAATATAAAATATATATAACTAGATACTGTATTATCTTACTTTTATTAATGTCCTCATGTAAGGTGACTCAACAACTAATCAAATAAATCAAATAATATATTCATGACCAAAAAAATGATATGAAGAATACAGGGAAAAAACCAGATATGTCAAAATTTCATAAAACTGAGAAAAACGCATATTTAACTTTTAAAACCATAAGGTGTCTTACGTTGGAACGTATAAAAAACTCGAGGGTTAAAATTGTTCCATAAAAACACAAGAACGGCACTGTTTTGTTTTTATTCAAAAAAATGTGTTACATTTTTTTAAAAATCCAGAAAATTCTTGTCAACCGCAATTTGTCCATTAAAAGAACCAGCTTAGTCATACAGTAAAACCTGTCAATACAGTAAAATACAGTAAAACCTGTCAATAACGGGCACTAAAGATGACAGAACTAGTGGCCGATTTAAAAAGGTGGCCGCTAATTCCAGATTTTGTAGTCCACAAATTTTGGTTTGGGGAACTTTGAAACTGGCAGGCTAGTACAAGTGGCCGGTTTTGACAGGTGGCTGTTAACACAGGTTTTACTGTAACACAGCTCGTTAAAGATCCCTACCTCTGGTTGGAATATCAGGGCATTCGTCAGAATTTTCCGTTGGTGGAAGCGTGCGCCGAGCGTCGGTGATTAGTCTTAATCGCAGAAGTAGATCGACGCCGATGTTAAATAAAGAAATAAAAAAAAATAATAATTATAATAATAATGATTTACCTGTTAAGAGTGATTATAAAGTAAGACGGCGAAAAAGTCCACAGCTGGAGCACCACAGAATCTCATAAGGCTCATTAAATCGCTGTGCTTGGCTTTTAAAATTGCGAGGGGTCCTAAAACAACATCTATCTATCTATCCATCTTATTCTATCTATCTATCTATCTATCTATCTACTATCTATCTATCTATCTATCTATCTATCTATCTATCTATCTATCTATCTATCTATCTATCTATCTATCTATCTATCTATCTATCTATCTATCTATCTATCTATCTATCTATCTATCTATCTATCTATCTATCTATCTATCTATCTATCTATCTATCTATAGCCCAAAATCTATTTATGTGTTGAATATAGGCCCTCTTCCATTTGTCTCCATTTGTCCTGTCTTCTGTTTGTTTTTTCCACATTGCGGCCAATTTCTTTATTCCATTTTCCATCCTGATATCTTTCATTATGCCTAGCCCATTTCCATTTTAATTTCAATACATGTTCGACAGCTTCTGTTGTTTCGGTTTTGCATCTTATCCACTTGTTCCTCTTTTTATCTTTCAACGATATTCCCTTGTCTTTCCATAGCTCTTTGGGTTTTCTTTATTCTATTTAAGTTGCTCTTGGTACACGTCCACGTCTGGGCATTATATGTCAGAACAGGTAGGACGCATGCATTAAATACTTTCGTTCTTAATTTTAAAGGTATTTTTTGGTTTTTGATAGTATATGAGAGTTTTCCGAATACAGCCCTTCTTCTTCAAGTTCCACTCCTATCGGAGATTGGAAATCATTCTGGCAATTATAATTTTATTGGTTACTCGCCTGAATAGTTCAATTGAACTGCATCCAAACCACTCACGGAGATTGCGTAGCCACGAGATTTTACGTCTTCCTACGCTTCTTCTACCTTTGATTTTACCCTGCATTATATTCCTTAGTAGTTCGTACTTTTCACCTCTCATGATGTGCCCCAAGTATTCCAATTTCCTGATCTTTATGGAATTTAAAACTTCGCATTGTTTTCCTAGTTGTTCGAGAACTTGTTCGTTTGTTTTGCGATCCATCCATGATATTTTCAAAATGCGTCGGTAACACCACATTTCGAATGCTTCTAGGTTTTTAATGTTGGATTTTTTAAGTGTCCAAGCTTCAACTCCATACAAAAGGGTAGAGAAAATATAACATCGAAGCATTCTTATCCGGAGCGATATATTGATATCGCGATTACAAAAAAGTTTTCTCATTCTATTAAAAGTTGACCGCGCAATTTCAATGCGGCATCTTATTTCTTTTGTCTGATCAGTATCTTCTGTGATCCATGCTCCAAGGTATTTGTACGAAGATATTTGTTCAATTTCTGTATTATCTAGTACTAGCTTAACTTTGATGTTTTGTGCTTTTGTAAATACCATGAACTTGGTTTTCTTCAAATTGATTTTTAGTCCATAATCGTTGCAATATATATTTAGTTGTTCAGCAAGGTGTTGCAGTTCTTCTAGTGTTCCTGCCAAAAGGACGGTGTCGTCAGCATATCTTATGTTATTAAGTGGCTCACCGTTTATTATAAGGCCCTCACTGATCTCGGCAAGCGCTAATTCTGAGATGGCTTCACTGTATAAATTGAATAACAAGGGTGATAAAATACACCCTTGGCGGACCCCACGGCGAATCTGGATATCCTTGGTCAGTTCGTTTTCAACTTTCACTTTTGCTGTTTGATTCCAATAGAGGTTACAGATGATTCTAATGTCTCTACTGTCTATGTTTTTATTTAATAAAATTTCTTTAAGTCGATTATGCTGCACTCTGTCAAATGCCTTCTCAAAATCAATGAAACAGGCATATACTTCCTGATTAATATCTAAGCATCTCTGCGAAAGAACACTTACTGCAAACAGTGCATCTCGTGTTCCCAGACCTTTCCTAAATCCCATTTGTGTATTACTTATGCCTTCATCTAATTTCTTATGTATTCTATTGTGAATTACTTTTAAAAACAATTTCAAGACATGACTCATTAAGGCTATGGTGCGATGTTCATTGCACTCCTTTGCATTGGCTTTTTTGGGAAGCAGTATGAATGTTGATTGGAGCCATTCTTTAGGTATTATACCTGTTCTATATATGGTATTGAATAGATCCAAAAGAAGATCAATAGATTCAGTATTCACAATTTTAAGTAATTCGATAGGAACTTCATCAGGCCCGGGAGATTTACCATCTTTAGCTTGTTTCATTGCATATTCAATTTCTTCTCGTATAATGTCAGGCCCAGTATCATCCTTAAATTCTTTTGGTGCTTCTGTTATTTCTTTGTCTTCAAATAGTTGTGCTATATATTGTGTCCATCTCTGCATTTTTTGGTTTATATCTGTTATAAGTGCACCCCTTTCATCTCTTAGTTGCCTAGTTTGAAGTGTTTTTCTCATTCCTGTTAATTCTCTAATTCTTTTATGCATGTTAAAAAAGTCATATTTTTTCTCAATTTCTTCTAGTTCTTGGCACTGCTCATGTAACATTCTCTCCTTAGCTTCTTTTATTCTCTTTTTTATTAATCGATCAGTTTCATTATATTTAATTGGATTTTTGTTTAATGATTTTCTTTCATTCATTAATAGTAGTATTTCTTCAGTCATCCAATCTTTATGTTTTCTATTCTTTGGTTTTAAGTTTTCATTTGCTGTTTTAATTATTGCTGCTTTTATATTTTCCCATTTCTGATCAATGTTATAGCTACTTTTATTCAGTTCTTGGGCATTACGTATATTTTCAGTAAGAGTTTTTACAGTTTGTTCCTTTGTTTGTGGTTCCCTTAATCTCTTAATATCAATTCTACTTTATGTGGGTTTTTTAACCAGTTTTAATTTGGTTCGTAATGTGACTACTATGGGGTTATGGTCTGAACCGATGTCTGCTCCAGGGTAAGTTTTGGCAGACAGTATAGAATTACGAAATCTTTGTCTAATAAGGACAAAGTCAATTTGATTTCGGATTATTCGATTCGTTGTATCACCGGGAGATTTCCATGTATACAACCTTCTTTTTGGTAGCTTAAAAAGTGTATTAGCTATTACAAATTCTTCCGTCTGGCAAAATTGTATCAAACGGTCACCACGTTCATTTCTATTTCCTAGACCATATTCCCCCACATATCCATCCACTCTTCCCTGGCCAACTTTGGCATTGAAGTCGCCCATTACTATTGTAGTGTGATGTTTTTTCATTGATTTTAAGACTTGTTTCAAATCATGGTAAAACAGTTCGATATCGTCGTCATCTTTATCTGCCGTAGGAGCATAAACTTGAATAAAATTTACTATACCTTTTTTAGACTGTAGTTGTATTGATAAGATCCTATCAGAATAAGGAGTAAAACTTATCACAGAGTAATTGACCTTTTTTGCAACTAAGATAGCAACACCGTAACGATGATTGACCTCGTTGTTACCTGAATAATACATGGTTCCATTATTTGTAATTTGTTTGCCTGAACCTGGCCACTGTACGTCACTTATACCTAAAACATCAATTTGGAGGTTTTCCATTTCAAGCAGTACGTTCGCTAGTTTACCACTTGCATATAAACTTCTGACATTCCAGGTTGCTATTTTCAATGTCTTAAGTCCACAGGGATTTCTCTGGTTTACGACCTGGGAGGCCCTGTGATCTACAGTTATTCCTCCCCTGCCGGATCTTGGATTCCGTGCTCCATAATCAGTAAGTTTGTTTACTCTACTTGTCATTTGCCTTGGACAAAAGAGTGCCCTTCCACTTATTATACAGCCCACCCCATTCTTATTGTTCTGGTTATTTCTTTAGTCCGATTACTTTTGTCTGCTCTGATAGCTTGTTCTAAGTAAATATATTCTTGGTCGTGTGCTATGTTTGTTCTACCTATGGTAATTACCCATCTGTCCTCTGTATTAGTCAATATTTTAGTTTTCTTTAGATTCATTTTTAGTCCTTTCTCAAGAGATGTTTTTTCTAAGTTTGAAATCATTATTCGTAGTTGTTTCATAGTTGTTGCTATCAGGAGTACATCATCGGCAAATCTTAGATGATTTAAGTATTTCCCGTTTATACAAATCCCTTTATTGTCCCAGTCTATAGATTTAAAAATGCCTTCCAACGCCAGAGTAAATGGTTTGGGTGAGATTGTATCCCTTTCTCTGACATTTCTACAAATTCTAATAAAAACAACATACAGGATATAATA